AAGAGTGGAACAGTGACAAGTTATCATATATGTAAATATATTGCAAGGACATGCATAAGTTCACAATCACTCACATGGAAAACTGAGTGTGTGTGTGTGTGCGTGTACATATGCATCTGCGTGTGTGCGTGTGGTGGTAGGCGGGGCACAGGGTAAGAAGTGTTGATGCCAGGAATGACTTTCCACACATTTGTGGCCAGAGCAGAGAGAGTCAGCTAGGTGAACTCCACTGAGGGTCAGGGATACATGTCAGGATGATGTAGTGGAGGGTGGTGTCAGGATGTGTATTCATGATTTTTTGCTCCATGTAATTTGTGTTTTTGTGCATATGTTTAGAGTGTGGAAGATGGACTGTCATGTCTAAACATGGATCTGTTTCTAATGACAACACTGACCAGGTGGGTGGTCCCAAATGGAAGCAGTTACAAGAGTAAAGATCTAATCCGAGCTAATACATGGACTCACCAGGGCTGGGACATTTGCATATGTTACTATAAATTGAATTTCAAACATCAAATCGAGATTAGATGTGGAATCAGCCAAACCTTCTCCCCAATTTATCCCCAGGCAAGTTAGGCTGAAGTGATTGTTACTCTCTATCCTCACGGTATTTCAATAGTGAAAATCTACATTTATATTTTTCCTTGATATTTAAGCCAAACTGACCTGGTTTCTAGCCACAGATCCATCCACCGGGTCGATGTACTCGAAGTTGTCTGCCTTTTCTACGATGTAAATATGATCACCCACAGCAAACCTTTGGTTGGTGAAGGCTTTGTCTGAGATCACAGCTTCTAAATCCTTCATCAAGTAAAAGGCAGCACGGGGATCCAGGCCTTCATAATCAAACCTGATGTGAAAAAGACCACCAAAAAAGCATGACAATTCCCGTATTTTCCAGACTATAAGTCGCACTTTTTTCATCCTTTGGCTGGGTTTGACAGGTGCAATATATATATTAAATTATATAATTTCACGTTTGTTATTTTCATACTGATAGCCACCAGAGGGCACTCTAGGCTTGTGTACCAATATCTTCTACTCCTTTACCACTGAAAGTTTACATGTTGTTCCAATTTATACTCTGTAGCGACTTATAGTTTGGGAAATATGGTGAATCCCTTTAAATGACTTAAAATGACTGTAGAACTGAACATGTCATTGTCTCTACATATAAATGTTATGGCAAATGTGCTTTGGCCCAACTCTCAAACAGAACAAACAATACTGGGAAACTCTTCATTAGAACCACAGGGAGATCAAGGTTTTGGGGATATATTTTGATCTGGAAAGGTGCCACAGAAAAATAGTCTGAATCACTTGACCCGGGTGAATAGAACATCCAACCAAGTTTAGTCTATTTTGTTTGACTATAATGACACTTTCCAGCAGTCAGTTACTGTAGGAGAAGCTTCTCAGAGAAGTCTGTCTAGAAACCAAGCAAGTGCACTTCTCAAGCTTCCTACCAAATTAAGAACCTACTCAGTCTTTCTTTCACTACTGGAGTAAAACCATGATTGACTGAGAGAAAATTGTGGGCCATTTACCTGCAGTAGTAGTTGCGTCCAAACTTGGCCCAGTGTTCTCGGACAATCTGCTCCACACCTTGTTTTGTGGTTGCTATGATAGATAGCCACACCAGCACTGACCACAAACCATCTTTTTCACGAATGTGGTCAGAACCTAAAGATAGAAGAGAAAGTTTGATCTAGTACAAATTATGAATCACTTCAAGGACAATAAAAAGGTATTAGAAGACACTAAACTGTTTAGTATAACCTTGGTTTTAATCAATACACTTGAAATCTGAAAATATGGGGATGTAGTTCAGTGGTAGAGCACATGCCTCGCATGCATGAGCTCCTGGGTTCAATCCCCAGCATCTCCACTTAAGTTATGGGAATTTCTTTAATGAATTCTGAGTTATCTAATACTGTTAAATTCAACTAGTGATTAGTTAACACAGTATTTGTTTGTTTATGCCAATGTTTAATTTGGCACTTGCTACATACTCCATACATGTTTTATTTCAGAAGGGAATCTACTGCTAATTTGGAGCAATTGCATGTTGTCATGTATATATATGTGTGTGTGTGTGGGGGGGGGGGGGGGTATAAATGTAAAAGAGAGGGATTAAATTGAGGACCTTCTGCAACATCTAAGGCAGGCATGATAACCACTACACCATAGAACCACAAATTTAGGTTTTTGAGATAATGTATGACACTCAACATCAGGCTCGAACCCACAACCCTAAAATTAAGAGTCTCCATAAGCCTGCTTTCAAACACAGCTGCACAGTGAAGTTATCTGTTAATGGAACACTGACCTTTTAAATGAATTTATTCTTTGTGTTCCTAAGCAGAAGTCCCACGTGTAAGACAGACTGAGCTTATTTCAGAATGCAAATAAATATATTTTTAAGAACAAAAAACAATTCCCTGTCAGAAATGTAGTCTTTTAAGGTTTTGTGATATTGCTGTGACATTGCACAGCTGTTAGGAAACTGTGGTCGTCATTTAATCTCAGGCTTATAGTCAGTCTCCTTCTGTTGAACTCTGATGTAGAGACAGGGAACCAACAACAAATCCATTGAGGAAGAGCCAAACCTGTTTCCGCTAATTTGTAAACTAAAGTCAGAGAAGTTAACCTAGTCTTAGTTTAACCAACAATAAGTTTCAATGCATTTTTTTTATCTTACAGTGTTAAAAACTGGTTAACACTGGTATTTGTGTTTAATGTATTTACCATATTTTCCGGACTATAAATCACTCCGGATTATAAATCGCACCAGCCAAGAAATGCATAACGAAGAAGAAAAAAAGTTCCACCAGCCAGCTAGAGTGCTCTCTAGCGGCTGTCAGTGTGTTAATTATAAACATGTGAATTTTCAGTGGTACAGGAGTAGCAGATACTGGTACATAAGCCTAGAGTGCCCTTTCTTGACTGTCTGTGTGAAACATGTGAAATTATATAATTTAATATATAAGTTGCACCTGAGGCAGTGGTGGATTAGTGGTTAAGGAAGCAGATGGAAGGATTCAGGTTCGAGTTCACCAGCTGCCAAGTTACCTCTGAGGTGCTCTGAGCATGGCACCGTCCCCACACACTGATCCCCGGGAACCTTAAGCTGCCTACTGTTCACTTTGGTGATGGGTTAAAAGCAGAGGTCACATTTCGTTGGGTGCAGTGCTGTGCTGTGTCACAATGACAAGTAGTTCACTTACGTGACAGTGTGTTTATTGGAAAGCAGCAGAGATTATTTTTAATGGAAATGCACTAACCTTTCTATAGATTTGTTAATTTATTGTCTAGTGTGACAGCAATGATAGTTTGAAGACCTTGTTTTATACAAAAAAAAAAAAATACTATGAAATGAAACAGTCTTATATTAATGCAGTACTGTGCAAATAGTGGGTGCCGGGGGGCATGAGGGGCTTCCAATGGAATATGGCATGTCAGACATAAGTCTACCATTGCTGTAATGCTTCAATGATAACAAGCCTCCAGTCACTAGGTGGCAGCAACTCATACAGTGGTATGTACAGATAAAAATATACATTTTATCAGGTTCTCAATAGTATCTCAATTTGCGGGGGTGTGCGCCGAGGGGGGCGTGAAAACATATCCCCAAAGGGGGCATTACAAAAAATAATTAAGAACCACTGTATTAATGAGACAGGGATAATGCTGGTGATAAGCATCTTCATGCCTGACGCCCTCACAGAGGTTTGTCGACATGTTGACATTTGTGAAAACTGACTAAACAAACCTTGTCACCACCTTGGGGCTTCACAAGGAGAAATCAATGTCAATTCTTATATAACCAAAGTTCCAAATTAGAGAGTGTAGAAGGACTTTGTAAAGTAGTGTAATACCAAAGGTTTCACATCAAAATTGGAGAAAACAAGCTGAAGTGCCATTTGCCAAGTTTGGGTCTGTGTCTATAAATAAATGTGAGAGAGTAAAGAAAGACGAAGAGCAGCGGTGGTGAGCAGCTAGGATGATTTACTGCTAGCAACTCTCTCTGAGCTTTTGGCCTTAAATGGCTAGACAGTGAATGAGCTCCCATAGACCTCTGTGCCCCTTCCACTTCTCTCCTACTCCTCAATTCATCTCATATTTAGACTCTCCCAAATCCCCCTCTGCCTCCACCTCCACTTCCCCAATTTACTGACATTTCACACCCAATTTAAAATGTTCTTTTTCTGTATGGTTTGTGCCTGCTTCTTTCATGTATTTTCTTTAAAACTCACGATGGGCAAGTGTAAAAGGAGTTAAATCATTCTTATGATCTGTAATTGCACATTGTTTATCTCTAACCCTACATGTGTATGTGCCTGTATTTGCATTCACAGTAACCAGCGGAGGTCTGTTCATATGTTGTTATGATTCATGAAGTTCCTGTCTCCTTTTATAGCAGAAGAATGTGGATTATTTACACATGCAGCCAGGGTCACAGGCCTCACATTTATTATATGACTCTGACTGGGGCTACAAACAGTCAGAATGCTCCCCACACTTTAAAAAAAAAAAAAAAAATCACATTCTAGCTGAATAGTCAAAAGGGAAGAGAAAGGAATACATTGGGATGACAAAATTTCTTAACCCTGTTGTTGTTTTTGTTGCTTTAGTGATCTTTATTACGTGATGTAACATCACGTTATATAATCATGTTAGAACTAGTCAGAACTTCCAGAAAGTGACACTAAAGTAGAGTGTTTTACTTGCTAAGCTAACATGGACAAAAATACCCAGAGTAAATGTCCAACATGTGCATTTTACCCATGGAAAAATGTTAATCAGACACAACTAATCTGGAGAGGGATTTTTAATTCAACATAACAAAATAATTTATTGTTTTATGGCAAATATCCAATCAATGTAATGCATGTTAGGAGATGCTCCGGTCATGACTTTATGGTAAGAAAAAAATGTCTGCACTACAGAAGTACATTACCATTTATTTTTAAAGAAATTAATGTCATAGACCGGTTACGTTGGCTATTTTACAGTACAATTGCATTTGTGTTCAACTAAACAGGCCCAGGTATCATACTGAGTAAGTAAATAGAGAGTAAATTGAAAGTAGTATATTTCATTACATATACTTTTTGTGACATTTTTTTTTTGGTGGTGTGTCTGAGAAGCTTCTCCTACAGTGTCCTAAACTTTTCTGTACCAAGAATTGGTCATCCAGGATTTGGCGGTATCTCAGATTGGTTGTGTCACGTTAATCATTTAAGGGTCATTACAGGATCTGTATATTTTAAAAATAAGACATCTTTTAAACTTTATTCTGATAGTATTGATGTCTGAATGACATATATAGTTTTCGTTGTGGGATTAATTTAGAATTAAGAAATTAAATGGATATACTACAATAGAATTATTTCTCTTTGGCCTGGTACTGGTCCACAGACTGGTAGTTTGGGACCCCTGCGATAGAGGACTCCATAATGCTAAAGTGTTGATATGGTACATTGATATTTTAAGTATCATTGATATTGATATTTTAGATTGTTTTACAAAGAACACTTGAAACAAAGACAAGTCAGCTGAACACAATAGCTGTTAAAATGCTTATCATATCCCAGCTGCATATTCAGGAAGCAGCAGCTGACAGTGCTGTCCACCTTGTTTGTAGGAACCTCTACAACAGTTACTGCTGAGAGGAGGGGGATTCCTTAGCTAAACAAGTTTTTGGTCCACGGTGTTAAGTAACATATACTCACATACAAAGAGGCTACTGTTAAACTGTGTCTACGCCTTTAGTAGATTGTTGAAATACGTATTATTTTCAAACAAAAGTTGCTAGGGTTTCGTTGGTTTTGTCAGTGTGAGTGCCGGATCATACCTGTTCCAAAGCTCTCCTCTCCACAGAGGGAACAACGGCCAGAATCCATCAGGTTTCCGAAGTATCTCCAGCCTGTTGGAGTTTCATAAAGAGCGAGTTTCATGGCTTTGGCCACCCTGAGGAGAGGCATGGGGGCAAAAGAAGAGGAATAAAAAAAAGAGCTGGTAAATATGACTGTCCACTTAATGCTTACAAACATGCATTGTGTTTATCTATGTCTATAATACCGTAATATCTGACTCTGAGATAAGCTTTGAAATAATCCCCTGATCTTTGAAATACAGCAAACAAAATACTGAGCTGCCAACAGTTCATCCAGTATTTTAATAAGGTGATCACAGAGAGAACTGAGCAGGAGCTGATGTTTGCTTTGAAACTGAGCCATGAGAGGAAAGGACAACACACAGTATGTGTGTGTACGTATATACATATATGTGCATGCTAAAGCAGATGATAGTATGTGTGGAACAAGACGGTATGCAGAGAAACCGATCACAAAGATTAGGAGCAAAGATAATGATGGAGGTGTATTTTGGACATTTACAGGGGTAAAAAAGCCTCAGTGACAATTGCTTTCTCTGTGAACTTAGATAGAAGTAGGTTGGATATGAGTGTTCTGCATTTTGAAAAAAACATTAAAATATTGTTTTTTTTTCAGCCGCCCTCTTTAGACAGATATTTTAAAACATCTTAGCTTTTCCCATTTTCCAATATTAGATTATTAACATCTTATAGTGGCTCACAGTAATTTTTCACTAAGTGTGATTTTTAAATGATTTCTAGTAAAAAACAAACAAACACAAAAACAGATGGTATTGTCGTTGGCTCCGATATCGAAAAGTAAAAAGCTAATACATTCCACAGCTTAAACCGAGTTACAAAATCAATTTGAAAAAATAATTTTGTGTTTATTTCGCCATCTCCCATAAATTTATTACGAAAGTCTTGTTCTGTCATTCTGACATATGGTGTTAAATTTCCCAACCAGTTCGCACAGGAGCTTGCTGACACTATACGCTATAGCTTTGTTTACGTTTGCCAGATGTACACCATTAGTGACTAAGTATACTAATATACTAAGTAACTTAATATATTAGTAACTAACATAACTGACTTGCAATGTAAAAAGTTGTTTTGCAGAAGTAATTTTACATGTATAAAAATACATATATACATACATATATAATTATTAATCAATCAATAGTGATTACCAATACATTTAAGAAAACAGAGTATTTTGACACTTTCTTCGTCTGACCTTAATGAAAAGGTTATCACTGAATGCACTCAGGTAATTTCATCAGTGTTGTTTCTGGAACCTTCCACATGGAGAGTTTATACCTTCCACATGAAGCTCTTTGGAGCCTGTTAACTCATGATGCTATAATTTCACTACACTGTAAACATAACAAGATAATCACACTCACACACACTGCACATACCAATGTTTTTGAGCTGCTCTTTAAAATGTTAGTCTTTTGTTTTCTGAACGGACACAACTTATTGTGCTTAGCACCATAAGACACACATTAAGAGAGAGAAGGGCAAGGGCAGTGGAAAGTTGAATCAATTCATCAGTTTTGCATAGCAATTTTAAACGACTACTACTTTAATGGTATACAAATGCAGATGTAAGACGAATCCATGGTTTATAAGAGGTCACACTGCCCAATAAACTGCCCATATCTGCACATTCATCATGCACACAAATAAACCTCACAGTGTGCCCAGTACTTTTGTTTACATGAGGACATGATACATTTCCGAATAAGAGTAAACCAGTTTTATTCCCCTTTGGGGAAGTTAGAGCTGGAACGAAAAGCCAGGAATTCCTGCAAAGAAAAAAAAAAAAACAATCTGGGAAGCTTTTGACAGTTTATAAGGCATAAACAAAGACAACACAAGCACTAAAACAAAGGCTGCTGGGACAAAATTGAGTGTGAGAATTTAACCAAAACAGTTTACCAACTGGTTTAGCAAAAATGTGGGAATTATACAGTAAGAGAGTAGGCAATATTAACATGTAAATGATGCACAGTTAAGTCCATAGGTACTGGGCTGCAGTGGGACACAGTGAAAAAATGTCCTTCAGTTTTTACTAATTTACTTCATTAAAAAATAATCCAGTCATATCCCTTATCTTTTTGCATTAAAAGATAGATCTGGCGATGTTTCAAAACAGTAGGTCATTCGGTATCTGATACTAACAGAATAAAGTCAAAAAGATGTTTTATTTTGAAATTTTAATGATCCTTCAATGATGGCACGGAATAACTCATCCGCAGTAACGACTGATAATGGCTGACCAATCCTTTCTCCAAAAAGAGGAGGGGAAGAA